ACTACATACACATGTTTAAAAGCTTTTTTGTGTGGTGTGTAAAAGAATTACAAATTAAATACAAGGTATTTCCCCATCCAAAAAGGCGTATATTTGTAAGCATGAAAAGCTGGCATCTGTAGTTGGCCAAAGATTAAAACGAGTCGTGTATGGCGTGGAGGCAAAGATGGCGGACCTGGAAAAATAAATTGAAACAATGTAATAAATGGTTGCTCCACTGCCGTACCTGATGGATAGGTGCAAATTTTTTAATTGATTTATTTAAATACCAGATTCGATCTTTGTGAGAGCAAATGGCAATTTTAACATTCAATAATAAAGAATTTTATTTCCCCTTGGACCTGTGTTAAAAATACTTAAAACAAGTGAATGACAAGATTCAAGACAACGAAAAAACCTACCATATGTTCATGTAAAGCCACTTAGCTGACTCTAACTGTAATGTTTTAATTAAAAGTACTGAATGCACAAGTCAGTGCAAATTTTTACTTACGTTGACACATGGCGGGGCACTGAGAGCAAAGATCACGGCGGCAGCAACATCGTCTGGTTGAAGACACTAGCGTGAAATGATATTATAAAAGATGGATGATATTGAAGGGTGTATTCTCATATATATAAGATATTAAAATTGGTAATTAAAGGATTTTTGAAAAATTAAGAAAAATTAAGTGACGGAAACGTTAACCAAAATATTTACTATAAGACAATGACGAATTAACAGCACTTTAAGTCTCTTATATTAAGCCCCAAGGGCTGGGTGATATATACAAAGTAACATACTGGACACTAGTTAAATGTATTAATTATGTAAAAGAATTGCACATTAAAAGACTGAAGCATATCCTCAGTATTTTCGCTTACATTTCAATTTGTCTGATTCACTTTAAATCCATTAAAATCCAAAAAGTCACGAAAAACTGTTTGTATCCGTATTCCAATTATTTGGTACCGCAATTTCTGTTATTCGTGAAAGGCAAAGGGGATTAGATGATTGACGAAGTTTGGCATAAAACCTGGGATTAACCCACAACATTTTACTGAAGCTTACAGTTTCCGGACGGAAGAGGTTGTCGTCCATGTCTGCTCTTGCTTGCGGAGTGTCCACCATTGCAGGACTAATCACCTAACAGTAGAGCATAATATTTCAATATTGGGTTACATTAACAAATTGTTATATAAATTCCACTAAAATCATATTTTGTAGTCGCCCATATACGGATTCTCGGGCGTCGCAAAAGATGGGAAATGGAAGCAGGGGCCTATATGCAAATGCGATTCCATTACTGTAAAATTGCAAATTATTTATTTACTGTAACTGCCTCATTATTTTGTTAATTTTCTCCTCTAAGTTATCTCCTACTGTAAATAAGCAGTCACAGACTGGGCTGTAATTTCTCCTTCATATGTACATTTAATCTCTCTCTCTCATACCGTCGTCCGTATTTTTGTTTTTTGTTGTCTCAGCTCGTGTCGCAGGCCCTCTGTGAAAGCCTTCAGGGCACATTTTGTTGGGGTATACATGTGACATGAAAACTCCGCGTGGACCGTGCTCTCACAAACACTAATTAAATAGAACATACTTGTTAGAAACGATAACATGATAATCTTCCCAAAGCCATTTAAACGGTATGTAAGGCCGAGTAGCTACCTTTGCCTGCAATGTCACAATTTTTCGGGAGTTTTAACCATTTGGGGAACGAATTTTCACCCATTTGCACTAGGTTCCAGTGTGCCATATGTGTTTTTTAAGCCCGGTGTCACCTTTTGGTACGTTGTATATCGAATTTGTCAATAACTAATTATGGATCTGAAAAGGCCATTTACTCGGGAAACGTGGTAAAGATACATGTACATTTTGCTTGAGATCAATTATGTATTACCTGCCAATGTAAATAATGTGCCCATCATCCCTCTTCCTCTCGTGTATGGACTTGACAGTCAGCTGGGAAACAGCTATAGCAGCAAAAACATTCAACTGAAAAAAAAATTGTTTTATTCGAAAGGTCGTCCCTGGTTGAAGGTATATCAGGAAATAAAACGACAAGTTGTATTCATTTTTTTACTGTAGAGTCCCTGACCATTGTTGAAGTCTGAGGCATTTTTGTCTTACTTTGAGTATCAGCTAAGAAGAAGGTTAACGTTGTTCATGCAGAGCATAAGATAAGCATTCATTTAGACATGTGGCAAAAATTCCATTACTGAGCATATACGCATAAGCTATAAGACCTTGTTCCCATACTTAGATCGATCTTACAGGATCGATCCATCTCCAAGGGGGGTTCTCCCTAAATCGCCTTCAGCTTAATCAGCTTAGATAACTGGCACGCCTATACTGAAGCTACTAAACGAAAGTTAATTACCCCCAAACTTAACGCTCTGGTAATATACAGCTTGGGAGGAAAAACAAGGATGGGACCCAGGCAGTAATTTTAATTGAGAAATAAACAATTTTTAACAAGAAACTTTGAATACTCAACAAAACTAAAATCCCACATTCTTAAATAAACACTAGCGATTCAAGGAACAGACGTAAGCTGAAAGAATATTTCCTCGGGATATAGATTCAGAATACGTCATGAAAAGTTTTGTTTTGCTGCGCAAAATATTTTTAAGCATTACAAACGCCTTACACCCGCATAAAGATAAATGGCTAAAGGATTCTAAAGAAAAAATAAAAAAATTAATAAGAGTTGTCTTACATCATACATCGTCTTGGTATCAGATAAAGGCCCTGTCTTGCAATCCTGACAGAGATTAACACCTGCGTTGTTAACACAAACGTCGACACCACCCAACTGTTCCTTGATTTCTTGAAACATGGACTCTATCTCTTCCGTTTTGGTGAGGTCACACTTCATTGGAATCAAACGACCCTTTTCGTTTTCAAGAACTGCAGCTGTTTTCTGGAATACATATATTCAAACATCTCTTCAACAAAATATAGAAATGGATTTTTCCATCATTCGTGATTCATTGTCTAATCGTAGCACTGAACGAAACGGAGGGAAATGTTTAAAGGATTTCGACTCTCAATTGCCTGTTAAACAGCCTATTCCGATATTTATGTCTATTCTACATGGACGTCATGATCGACCGAATGTACTTGGAGATGACCAATTATTTGATACCAATGAAATATATTGAAAATGAAAAAGCCATAAAGAAAAGACAAAGTTTTGGCTGCAAACCTTTATTGACGGAGGACAACATAGTGGTATGACTGGTCATTCATTGTCCTTGGTATTATGATTTTAGAATTACCTAGTGACACAATCTATGATTCTGTTTCTTTCCCTATAACTCTTTCCGTTCAACTTTTGCTTGTCAATAGCTGTTATTATTATTATTATTATTATTATTATTATTATTATTATTATTATAAAACATACCTGCATTCTTTCCACGTGTCTGGCGCATCCAACCACCACCATACCATTCTTCACCAGAGCACGAACAATGGCTGCTCCTATCCCTTTCGATGCTCCTGTTACCAAGGCAACGCGTCCTGTCCAGCGATCCATTTCTGAAACATACTTTGTACTGCGATCACCTTAACCCAAATACCCAACAGCCCACAGGAACGAAAAGAGGGTAACAGGAAGTATGGGGGAGGTCAAGACTCTTATGACACAGAGAAAAGAGAGAGAGAGAGAGAGTGAGAGAGACCTGATATACACCCACACTCCTATGCACACACTCATATGCACACACTAGTGAACTAATTGGTTCTACAGTCCTTTCTTGGTATCGTCAACAAACAGGAAGCGCAATTACTAAAATGAAATATCATATTGTAATGACCACGGACCACCAAAATACCTTAAAACTGTGTAGAAGGCCACTTGTGGTGCAATGGAGTCTTTGCAGCAGCGTATTCACCTTTAATCCTATAACATCTGGGTCAACACCTGTAGCATTTCCCATTGGGTGAAAAGCATAACGGCTTGTACAGAACGGTGACATATATAAATAGAACAGAGATTTTAAATATGGTACGTGTCCCTGTTGTGGACGTGCTTGCTGTGCCAACTTTTTTTTCAAAGAAGACCTTAATATAGTACACTGCTTATACAGTTACCTGTATTCACCCAGAGAGGAGAGAGAGAGAGAGAGAGAGAGAGAGAGGAGAGAGGGGAGAAAGAGGAGAGAGAGAGAGATGGAGAGATTGGAGAAAGAGGTAAGAGAGTTGTGAAAAAACATGTTTGTGCGCAATTATTTCATCATTGCCATATGTTGTATATGTTAGAATAGTTCAAACCTTACTTTCGTTCTTCATTTTCTGTCAATTTTGTTCTTTATTCCCGTTTTTTCTGTACTTTATTTTAATTGTGTTATGTTTTATTGCCGTTCCTTATTCACCATCCTCATTTTCTTTCTTTATACGTTAATGTTTTCCATTTGCAACTAGTCTCGACTCTCGCCTGCTCACTTTACTTCGTTAATTCAACACGTCTTTCACATATGCAGGTAAATTATTTCTTTTTATCTTTTCATTACGTTTTGGTTAGTTCTATGTCATTTTATTTAACTTTATTTAGTTAATTATTAATATAGTTTCAAGTTACGGAAGACCTTCATCGACTGTGTTAGGCCTATGTTATAAGAATAAAGAAAGTTTACTCTCAAACAACAGCTAAATATTGAAATAGTTCTAAATTATAAATAAGTATCTAATGATATTTTATTTACAAGTGTACAGCAAGTTTCTCCTCTAGACACGTGTATTAATTGATAACTGCACCCTAAGGCAAGTTTCTCCTCTATATACAGTATTCATTGAAAATTGTATCCCAGGTCACACCTAGCACAATTTTATCGAGAATGCCAAACACATTTGTAATCTTTTCCATAATAATACGCAGCATTAACTCCGCCCATTGACCAGCAGCCGTCACATCTTTCCTCTGAGGATCGAGACGCGTTATGTGACGGTTACAGACCCAGGAACCTGTAGGTAAAGCATAACCATAAAACGACGAAAGGTCTGAAAGAAGAGGACCCACTTCAGCAGAAAATGAAGCATTCTGCAAAATTTTAAGGTACATGTAGGCCTATTTGGTAATTTTTAGTAGTAATGATATTTCTTTATTTTGGTAGGTACAGTACTTTACCTGTGTAGGGTGCACTGAATTAAATAAGCATTTAATTAAAATACGTTTAAGAGAATCAACAAATCAACAAGGCGTGAAGTCGGTCAAAAATGAGAAGAGATAGCGTTTGGTTGAGTTAAGATAACAACTGAGTTTGGTAAATGTCAGTCTCATGTCAACTACGGTCAGGAGACAGAGACTGAAAACAATGTGACACGTAACCCCCTCTGTTGTGTGTGTACAGTTATAGGTAGGGGTGGGACACACTATTCAGAAACCAATCTTCATCAATAGATGAATGTTGAGTCCCATTCCCATAGGCACATCGGTCTACGCTGATCGGACCAACTCTGCAGGGGTTCTCGCTGAGTGCAATCAATTAACAATCCTCAGGTTGACAATCCTCCTCATGGCGTTAACGAGAATACAGAAAAGCTGGTGATTGTACGCGTACATTGCAAACAAGAGGAGGCGTGTCATCTGATTAGCCTGATTGCACTTAGCGAGAGTCCATGCAAAGTTGGGTCTATCTACCTAAACCGATGCTGTATATATAAAATGCACGATTTAAGCTAGTTAAATTGAAGACGAGGCAATGCCCCTCATGTACGAGTAACCTGAAAGGTCAATGTAGGCCAAAGCACTTTAGCAGACCTCTGTCCGAAAGAAGGCCTCAACTTAGTCAAGGCTTTTATCCTCAAAAGTCCTTCTAGCCGTCGATGGGACATAAGTTTATTTCCCTAGAAAACGGCCGGATTACTGATAGGATTTTGGGATATGGGATTTGGGCTATATGATTTGTTTGGAGAGGTTAATGACCTAGAAAATACCTAAAAGGTATTTCAATGCACCAGAGTAACTGATGCGCTCCTTATGTAAAAATATACTGCATGTTGAACAACAGTAAGTAAGTGTTAGCGGTCACCCGGCGGCAAACGTGTTATCTGCAACAATTTAAGCAGCGACAGAGGGGCATGACGTCTGTACAATTTTATTGATGGATTCAATTCAATTCATTTCTGTACTGGAACACATATTATCATGACCTCGTATAATCTACATGTAATTCAATTGTTGGAATGCCATCTAACGTGCTCTTATGTATAATCGGCAGTTTTTCTATATTCTACTAAACGCCAGGAGGGGTTATGTTTATCTGTCAGTCTGACTGCATTCAGCGAGAGTCCCCGTGGATTTGGTGCGGAGTACCTTGGTACCGGTAGATAAAATTCATTGAGAACTGTTCCTGGTAGTCCGAGAGAACCTGAGTCTGTTTTACTACTTCTTTGAGCCTAAAGATGCCATATGTCACATTAACGTATACTGGCCACATATTTTCTAATAAAATATATGTAGTAAGTTGTACACACACTGACGTTTTTTTTTACTGCAATTTTTTACTGCAGTTTTTTTACTGCAATCGCTTACCGCTTACAATACATATATTGTGCGATTGTTGTTGGCTTGACTCTGAACATACAATTATTTTAGATATGGATCGCTGGGCAGGGCGCGTTGCCTTGGTAACAGGAGCTTCGAAAGGGATAGGAGAAGCCATTGCTCGTGTTCTGGTTAAGAATGGTATGGTGGTGGTTGGATGTGCCAGACACGTGGAAGGAATGCAAGTATGGTTGAAATTGATATTTTTCTTGACAGTTTTTTTTTAATTCAACTATTATGTCATTACATTGATGGTTAAACATATTAAACATATTTTCATAAATTTGGTCGATACATGCGCAGACATACATACATTTGATGGGCAGGACAATGGCTTCAGCACCACAAGACATTTTCAGGTAATAAATTAAACCTCGCGTCATTGAGAAAATGAGATTTTAAGACATTTGTTTCCGTCCTTGGGTCTTAAACACATTTCAAATTATCAATCAATTATTTCAGACTGCAAAAGAAAATCTTTCAAGCGAAAAGGGCCGTTTGATTCCAATGAAGTGCGACCTTACCAAAACGGAAGAGATCGAGTCCATGTTTCAAGAAATCAAGAAACAGTTGGGCGGTGTGGACGTCTGCGTTAACAACGCTGGGATTTCATTTTTTCAAGATTGCAAGACGGGGACGTTGCCTGATACGAAAGCAATGTATGACGTAAGAAAGCAATGTATGACGTAAAAAATCAATCTATGACGTAATATCGTTATTTAAACAACGTGTTCTAACTGTTCCATCAAGACATAATGGTATTTGAGACAATTTTAATATATCACGTGTCAGAACTAATCGTAGCATTACCATCAGTGTATTCTAACTCTTTCTTTGCAAATTGCATTGTTTTAGGGGCTATTTATTTTGTCGAGTATTTTTGTTATGTCAATCTTTTGTTGACTATTCTAACTACAATGTGTATATTCCAAAGTGTATCGATACAGAAAAAATCAATAAACATATTGCAGTACACTTTTCTGTCTGGAACCATTCTTAACGTTTGAAAACTAAATAGCCTGAGTACTACGTGACAGAGTCATTTGAAACGCTCGACAGGGCCAGATAACCGGATTGATTTTGATTGGTCCAAACAGTCGGTAGCCAAAACAAGCCAGAATTCAAACACCAAGTTTGGTAGCGCATTTGCACATAAACACCGGTTAAGTGTCCAAGATGGTGAAGAAAGGTGCACCTCACCATTTTATATAACCATATATATATATGTTTGGACAGTCTGGCAAAGCTTTAAGTAATTTTTTTATTTATGCTATGACTAACTTTTGTTGATCATTTTGTCCATAATTTCACTCCCAGTAGTGAATACTGTTTGTAAGCTGATTTTTATCAAGAAAGGGGCGCAAATATTTTTATACACATTACTGGAAACCTTTCTTTATAATTTTAATTAAAATTTTAATAATTAAAGGCTTATGTTTCATTTTCAGTTGAATGTTTTCGCTGCCATAGCTGTTTCCCAGCGGACCATTCAGTCCATACAAGAAAGGAACATGGATGACGGGCACATTATCAACATCGGCAGGTGAAGTTTTGCGACGATTTTGTGCTCCAATAAGGTCTGGTCGGAAAAAAGCTAAGAAATGAACATGCTACTCCATTTTGGCGAGTATAAAATGTTTGGAGTGTTATGAATCATAAATGTCCCCAAATAATTACTTTTGGTTCCGTTAACTTCAGATTCTTTGCCAATATGCCATTTAGTTAATTTATATATTTATTAATTTATACTACTTTTATCAAAATCTATAGACAGAAATTACACACCCAAAAATGGAAATGGTTTGAAGCAATATCGAGGGACACCTCATAGATATTTGGGAGCACATAGGTGCTGTTAAATGATATAATTCCCATAAATAAATCCATGTCAAATGTGTTGGTCTCAAACAGAACTCTACATGTCATCCTGTATAATCATCAACCTGTGTAGTTGTTAATTACACTTATGTTAGTTAGATCATCACTGATTTTTATAAAGTATTCTTATTCTTTTTTTTTTTTTTTTTTTTTTTTTTTTTTTGTTAAGATATACATATATGTCAAATTATGTTCAAGTCGTAATATCTTGGTCATCATGGAAAGTATATACATTGTAATTCTACGGTGATTTGCCTCCTTTTCTCTGAATAAACTTTGTTTAAAAATAGGTATTTAAACCCTTAGTCGTGGCGGGTGCTTTTCAAGCTTTTGTTTGCTGATATAATAAACTGTTTAAAAGACAACAGTATAACAATTTCTATAAAGCTTCTTCAATTGTAGCATATGTGGAACCACGATTCACGAGGACGTGCCGTGTCACATGTACTCCCCAACAAAGTATGCCTTGGGTGCCTTCACGGAGGGTCTGCGACACGAGCTGAGAAAGGAGAAAACGAAAATACGGACGACGGTATGTGTGGGTGTGTGTGTGTGAGAGAGAGAGAGAGAGAGAGAGAGAGTGTATGTGATCGGTGTAAAAATTACTTAAGAATACGGACGACGGTATGAGAGAGAGAGAGAGAGGGTGAGAAAGAGGTTTAAAATTTACACATATGCAGAGGATAAAGCTACTTTGCTGATTTCTCAGCCGTGAGAGGCTAAATAAAAAACAACAAATCCAGGTGTCACTTCCATGCGTGTTACATTATATGTCCATCCCCGAAGATCAGTTGTGCGATATTGATGTTTAAAAAAATCTTTGTTCTGATGTTTTTTAGATGATAAACCCTGGATTTGTGGACACGCCCCTTGCAAGAATGAAAGGTATTGCTGAAGCATTCGACCCGGGAAATGTAAGTTACAGGGATTGTTAAGTTGAACAGCCACTCTACAAAAAAAAAAAAAAAAAAAAATGGTTCCAATTTCAAAACAAGAAATGCAGGAATATGAAGTTTGTTAAAGAGGATGTATCCAGAGAGTAACAAAATAAATTCCACACCCCATTACTTTTTTTAAAGAAATATGCACGTGTAAACACAGTATTTTTCTTTTTCGTTACGGAGGTTAGGCTACGTCCATATTGAGTTATATTTCAATCACTTACTAGAATAGAGATAAAATGGCAAAGAGATGATTAAATTTTTGGGAAATTTTCCTATCTTATAATGCAGTAAAATTGTTCATTATTAATCCATCATTCAATACAATTGGCTGTGTCTTGTCATTTATTTCAGTGTCTTCAACCGGACGACGTGGCTTCCGCAGTCACCTATGTGCTTGGGGCTCCACCAAACGTCAATGTAAGGAAGAAGGTTTTATTTATATTTATTTATTTATTTATTTTTATTATTATTATTATTATTAAATGACGCTTAAGGGGAGCACAGCACGTAAATGCCCCAGAGACCAGGTGGAGAAAATTTATCGTTTTAGATCCTTTTACACTGGTCCCGATCCCAAGAAGTTTCCAGGGGCCTTCAACGTATTGAAGATCGATGGCGAAAAAAGAAACGAACCTATCTGAAATGCAGAGTTGTCACATGGCCACTTCTCCCGTGGGTTCCTCGGTGGAGCAACTCAGTTATAACGTTCTTATATCTTTATTTTTCAGGTCCGACATATTTGCCTCCACGCCATTCACGGCATATTGTAAGTCGAAGACGGCTGCCAAATTCAATTCTAAAAGAACTTTAAAGAGACTAGTTAGTCCCCTATTCTGAATGGGGCCTTAGTGTGCTCTGGCCGGAACATACAGACTTGACATTTAATATGGAATATTTCAGTTTCGAATGTATGCCTAGGTGAAAATGCCTTTTTTTTTTTTTTTCACAAACTCCGATCTCATATTATATATGTGAATGGAGAAGTGTGTAGTCAGGTGTGTCGCTACCAATTAACTGATAACCAGGTTTGTTGCGCTGCTGCATTATGTAATATGCAGTGATTTAATTGGGTAGTGCTCCTTTGGGCAGGTCAAAGCTTGGCTTTGGCAAAGCATGGTTCTGTCAAAAAAGTATCCATATGTCGGCAACTACTGCATAGAAGAATTTGAAATTTTGCATGCAAACGGTCGGGTTTGCAGTGTGTAAAATGAGCTATGCAGAGCTTTACAAATTTGTTAATCTGTGGCAGAATGGCACGAAAAAAACAGGCATTGCCAGACAGGTAATTGCCGCAAACGAAACGGTCCGCACAGTTTTACAGAGTAGTGGCCAGACTGATGTACCTACACAGATGCCACACCCAATGTATTGAAATCTTACCACCAGGGTATAGGACCCACTGTCTTTCGGGATATGCTGTTGCAACTAAACAAAACCCACCAAGTCCGTTCAGAATCAGGGGTAAATTACCACCAAAACGCATTTTTCAAGGCCCTTAGCGAACACCAAACTGGTTTTAGCAGGTTAGAATATCAGACGACCTCCGAGGAACCCACTGTAAACAGCAAAACATCGTTGTATGCTTCTCTATTGAAATGGGGACCTTGACTGTTCCTGAGTTGAACACTGAAATCTCGTGGCTTTCTTTATTGAGGTCAGATTTCACCTGTACCGCTCAACAGTCAAAACAGAGTTTACAGACATCCAGAAGAGGCCAACGACGAAGTGTGTGCCGCGACTAAAGTGACCAAGGTCATTAACGGCGTCAGTATTTGGAGTGGATACCACATTGCTGCCAAAACACCAATGGTAGTCATCGACGAAAACCTGAACCAGATCAAATAAAGAAATAATCTGGGAACCACCTGGCTATCATTTGATAGGGGACAACTTAGGAACAATTTTAGGTTGCACGGTGAGATTGCCGGTTCACACGGAGCACTTTAAATAACAGTTTACTTACAGAACCAAGGGAATGAGCAGCTACCTTGGTCATCAAAATCGCCATATTTGAACCACATAGACAATATGTGGGTATGTCATTACTCTCCGAATCAATGGCCTACATGTCCTACAACAAAACTGGACCAAATTGGGCAGATTTTGACCGATGCCTGGAATGTTATTCCAGATTGAACTTTAAAAACCTATCCCAAGGAATGCCTTGCCACTTGAGAGCGCAGGTAGCAGCCAGAAGAAGTCAGGCGTAACAGCGACCGTTACTGTGACTAAACACTGACATGAGGGTCCTTTGTGGAGCGTTTAACTCTTTTACAGACAATAATTTTGGAAAATATGGAGGTCTAAAATATCCCTTTTAATGGTTGTCGTATGACATAGAATAGGCAATGTGTTTTTGTTTGCTTCTCTGGCGAATTCCATTAATGAACATATGTCACAATGACATCAGAGAGATAATTAAAAGTTATTAAAACACGATTTTAATCCTTATTTTCATTTATCAGCCTGCAAAATAGGAAAAAAAACTGATGAAAACTGATTTGGAAAAAATATTCCATATTAAATGTCAAGTCTGTAAATAACAGAATTAAGTGTACCCGGATGACAATGCTCCTTGTCACAGATCCAGAGCGGTTGATGATTGGTTTGACCAACAGGACATTCGCAGGGTGATGTGGCCTGCCCAGAGTCCGGATGCAAACATAATAGAAAATGTGTGGAATGATATGTCAAAACTTTAGACAAATGCCCTTCAAACCAGCGGACAAACTCTGTTAGATTCAGTGTTTCATGAATGGCCCAGCATAAGCCCTGAACGCATCAGACAATTATATGAATACTTGCCTCGCAAACTGGCACCTATTATTAGGTTACGTAGCTATGCCACTAAGTACTATTTTGGACTTGAAACTTTAAAGTAGAATGCATATTTTGTTCTCATTTCGTGTTTTTTTTTTTTTTTCGTGTGAAATTTGATGTCAATAAACTGATACCAGGAAAATATCATTCCACAGTTATTTATCTCCCCCAAAGTATTGGTTCAGTAGGGGTGACACTTCTATTGTCCAGTGTGTGTAGTTAGCGCAATTTGTTTTGTAACGCAAATAATGGGGGGTAAGAATAAAAGAAAAAAGTTAAGAAATGAACAACAAAAAAGAACTATTTAAGAGTAATTGTAATTCAAAGCTGCTTGGACCTGGTCCGATCTAAATAAGTTGGCTGAGCAATGAATTATTGCAAAATCATGTTGGTAAATAAGGCTGTTAAACTCACATGAAAATTGGAAATTTATCGTGTGGAGGAGAACGTCTGAAATGATACCTCAAAATTGTAATTTAAAAAGACGAGAAAATGCAAATGACATACAACAATGTTTAATCAAAAGTAAACAAAACAAGTCTGAACAATAATGAATCTAACAATAATCATATTCATATATGCTCATTGGTATCAGAAAGAGATAACACATTTTCTTGGTTTCTACATCGTTGAAATAAAAACTTAAACGAAAATATAATTATGATAATCGGTATATTTAAATCCGGAGAGATACTCAGGCAAACAACAGGTAGCCAATATAATGACACCTGGCTTAAAGAGCCATTGTACGTAATTTTCCTGCCAAAATGAATTCCTTGAAGTTCTCTCCAAGCTTTGAAATCCCACACAGTCGTATTCATGAACTGCAGTGCTTCTTATATTTCCCAATTCAGACCCAAAAGACAATAAAACCCTTAAGATAAAAATTTTATCTGAAGTTATACCTTGTGTTATTTTTATAATCTCAGTCTCCTTTAGAAGCCATTGCCAGTTTGCAACGTCTGTGTTAAAATTGCTCTTCATACCAGGAAAATTAATTTTGGTAGGAAAAAATCCCATACGGTGGTCCTTTAATTATCTCTGCTCTCAGCTACATGCCTATCTAGATGTTACATAACTCGGCTAAAATCCGTGCAGATTTGTATCAGCTACCGTCGATTTGCGTCAGCTGAGAGCAGCTTATCTCGGTTACAATATCCGTACGTGGGTGATATCATAATTAAACTGTCTACCTGCTGCTAATAATCTTGCTTGAATAAACCATCACAAACTAACTAAAACTAACTTAAGGCTCTTGGCGCTGCTCAATGTCCACAAATATGGATAGAAAAATAGCACAGTTTTGGATTGATAATTAGACGCTCTCTTCTTTTGTGCTCTTTCTATATTGCCACACACTAACCCAACCCTCTACCAGGGCCACATAAGGGATTTTTCACAACTTTTTCATTTATATTTCTCTTATTATTCACCAGCTGTGCACGTTTCTTCTGTGCCAGATGAAGGTTTTTTGCGCAACAACAGAACAGGCCCCAGTTTCACATACCAACTTAAGTCAGTTCCCTGTCTAAGTGGGCTAGGATTTCATTGAGAGCGCTGTAACGCCGTTTCTGATAGGGTAAGATGTGGACATGTGACCATTTAACGTTGGTAATTAAGTTTTTAACCAGGGAACCTGACCGAAGTTTTTTTTATGGAACCAGGTCTCTGCCGTGGCCTCTGGTTTACAGTAATGGTGAAGAGTAAAGTGAACCTAGGTATCTTTGCCTGAATACAAAACTCATACAATAAATAAATGATAATAAATAACTTATACCCAACACAAAACATAAATACCTAAATAAAACCTAATAATATCTTAACCTTCGTAACATATCACTATAAGCATGGTTGTGTGTGTGTGTGTGTGTGTGTGTGTGTGTGCGTGTGTGTCCAGCATACGTCACAATTACATTATTCAATTAACAACATATATTTAGAATATAACATTCCCAATCAACAATAATTCAAACCAACGATGAATCCTTTATAGTATAAGTACAGACTTATAAGAAATAATATCACAATAATTTGACTAGACATTAATTACCCACCCAAGAACCAATTATTATACAATAGCTTCCTATCGCTCATTTTCCCATTTCGTACTATTTTTCCTGGAGTTTTTCATAAATTGAGCACAAAAAAAAAGAATGATACTCGCCTTTAACATTTTGTTCATTTCAAAGCATGGAACGTCATCTTCCAAGATCTTGTCAACAAACCGACCGGTTTTATCTAGTAGTGGTAGTACACCGTCTCTGAACTGAGTAGAGATTGACCTTTCTGCCGGCTTCAAATGGCATGTTACATATTTCTCTACTGCTCAAGTTCTTTTATATTTCCTGTAGACCATTAATTTGTACTTCAGTCTGAATCATTCTTGGTAAAGTCACCTGATGTTCTCCATAGGTATAACGTACAAGATACAGAAAATTTCCATTTCCAAGTCAACCATTTGACATTTGATTGTGTCAGTTTATTGCCGCTGATTTTATAAGTCCAATTGGCTGTTGCGATCGTCAACAGTTCTTCTGAAGACTAAAAGGCCTATACCGTGGGGCCATGCGTTCAGCCATGGGGTCAAGTGTGACGTGGCATCGCTTTCTTTATTGCCCCATCCATCTATCCTCTTTTTCGAGCTTTTTTCCTTTTAAAGGAGGCAACAAGCGTCTTAGCATGACGCCACTTTTTTATCCACGTGAAATTAATAACGTTTCGTTGATTGTTCTAATCCATGGGTTGAAGGAGAGTTACTTACATCTGCTGCACTCGGTTAAATGTAGACGTTTTCTATCAGATGTCGACATTAAAGTCTGTCACTGTAACTGAGTGTTACATGTGTAGAAGCGTGCCAGAGAGGGAACAGGAAGTTGGTACGTTTGCGTACCGTAGGACGCGTGCACCATTTTTGTGTCACGTTATCAGTTCCTAGGATGATTGCCGAACC